ATGAGGGAGGATGGACGATCAGGAAGCGGGAACAAAACGCAGACGAGCGGAAGTCAGAAATAAAACAAGGCGCCATAGACAATAAAAAGGCAACAAGCACGCGCGGAATAAAAAAACAAAACAAAAACGAAATGTACAGACAGGCTGACAGATACATATGTGACCATACACTTATGCACAGGTGGCTGACACATACCATTTCGTGAGCAGACACCAAGGCTATTCAACATCATGTATGGCAGTCAAATGATTGCGAGCATTAAGCCGCGCCAGCCGGCCAGAACAGAGCGAACATGCCGGGAAGGACCGCCAACCACAGCCCACCGCCCACCTATCTTGCTGGGGAAGGTGGTCTCGTCGTCCAGCTGATCCTGGGCCCACGTCATCAGGTAGTCGATGTACTTGGGTGCCGAGCACTTGATGGGCTTCTTTACGGTCTGGCCGTCCGCCCAGTGGTACTCATACTTTGGACCTGGGGACACGCGTTACGCACGGTGCGTGAGCGGTGCTCAAGCTAGGCGTCCGGGGACACGCATTACGATTACGTTCGGTGCGCGCGTAGTGGTGCTCAAACTTGGAACCCAGGGACATCGGCACTGACTGCGTACTGTGCGCACATTCGCCCCGTGGTATTCATATTTGGAGGCACTGGGACGCGGTAACGGTGCGCCATCCTGCCGTCCACCAGCTGCACTTATAGCCAAGGTCAACGAAGCCAGCATGCCAACTCCGCCCATACGCCACAGAAAAACAAATCATGATCAGGTATGAAAGGACGGGATGTCCACAAAACACAAGCCACTGCTGTTATGCATCGCAGATTGGAAGACACCATGCATGGACTTTACCACCAATGGGTTAGCCTGGTAACTTTCAGGCAGGTAGGTGCTCTGTCTCCGCTGTGTGAAATATAATGAAAGTCACATGAGCCACCGGGAACTCTGTTGGCAATCCAGGAGCTTTCAAAGTGTGATGTTCCCCCAATTGGACGCATTTCAGACAAAAAAATAACAGTCTCGGAATCCTACGTTTCCACCCCACCGACCGTCATCCCCACCTCCCTGTTCTGGAGCGGCATCATGTCCGAGTCCTAGCAGCATCATGTCCTACCTGCTGACATGACAGGACACGTCTCCTCCGTGCAGAACTCGGTGATGGTGCCGTACAGCATGTTGATCTGGTTGAAGAAGTCCACCGCTGCGGAGGCGCGGGCACGCATCAGTGCCGATCAGACGGCGCGGTAGCTCAGTGGGACGACAGATTGGTGGACGCCACAGAGCCAACACCGCCGGGGGCAGCTGGACAGAACCTGGCACAGGGGCGGCTGGCCCTGCGGCGCTGCGGAGTTCTCGCGCGATACACAGACAATAACGGGGCTAGTGGCGAAGCTCTCGCATGGAGCTGCCCCCACCAGCTCGGTGTGTGTCCACCGCCCCAGCTCAACAGTCACTCTTGATCACGTGTCCTCCCAGCCAATCCTCACCAATCGCTCCCCAACTGACCCACCCGATATCCGCTGTTACCCCTGAGGAACTCCCGGCATTGCCCGCACACGCTGTACTCAACTGATCAAGTACTCACTGTAATAATGACAGTGCTCAACACCGAGTTCCTACGCACCATGCCACATCATGCAGCACTTCCCATCAAGCACTCTCTCAGCCAGGTGGAGCACAACACAGCACTGACGGTTCTCATCGCCTGCCGCCCGGGTATTCACTACTGACCCCTGTGTGGCCAGTAAGTACTCAGTGCTGACTTCCGTCTACCACGTCAGCACGCAACACTAAGCTCCTGTCCACACAGCCAATATTGAACCCTGTGCTCCTGTTAACAACGCCAATATTGAACCCTGTGCTCCTGTTAAAAATGCCAATATTGAACCCCATGCTCCTGATCGTACAGCTAATATTTAACACAACACTCATGTCTGTCTAGCCATCACTAATACTATGCTTCTGTTTATGCAGCCAATACTAAACCCTACACTCCTGTTTATGCACCCAATACTCAACACTGAGTTCCTGTTGATGCAGCTAATACTCAAACACTGAGTGCCTGTTTACCAGGCCGGTGTTCCCCGGTGGTCAAACCCTCCCCCCCCCCCAGGCCAGTACTCACTGTTGACGGCCACCCACTCGTTGAGGTCCTCGCCCTCGGGCAGCTGCACGGCCAGGCGCAGGTTGCCCGAGCCGAGCGTGGCCGCCGCGTGCTTCATCAGGTCGTACTGGTGCGTGCCCTCGGCGATGTTCTTCTTCGGCTTGAACGTCTTGTTCGAGCGGCCCCCGCTGCCGACAGCCGGTGACGTGAGGAGTCACATGCGATGCCGGGGGGGGGGGGGGCACCAGGCGGGCGGGCCGGGTGTGGGCGTCACATGGGGTGGAAGCAGGTACAGGTGGACAATAGGGTGGTCATCTGGTGATGGTGATGATGATTTGGACTTTGGGGTGCACCGACTATGTTGGTTACATGGCGCCCATAGGGTGGTCATCTCAATAGTGTCATCTGGATACTGGAAGTTGTACTAAGTATGATTGTGCGCTACAACAACATAATAACCTGAAAAGCTAACACAAGTTTTATAGAAACAACAGCCAGTCTAACCTCCAGTAGGGGAATCACCCACGACTTAACACCCTTCCATTTTATGTGACGTGGAACACAATTAGGGGGTCAGAATAAGACATGTTATGACTTCAAAAATAATGACTGCCCCTGTGACCATTACATAGGGGCGCAGAAGCAGTGCTGACAGCTAGTTCCTGCTTCTGATCAGTGGAAGAAAGCAAGGGGCCATTGGCTCCCAGGCTGACTACTGGGGATCAATGTGGATCTGTTTACATACACAGATGCAACTACATGGTGAAATATATTTCAGGAAGGGGCAACTGCCACTCCTACTACTGCTCTCAAAAAGTGGTGGTGAAGTGGTAGGATGTGGATAGGAGCAAAATAGAGAGGATGAAGAGAAATATGCTCCACAAGGCACACAAAGATGAGAACATATAGGCTAATTTTTGCACAAAAATCACAGTATTGGTAGTCATGAACCAACAACATTATGTTAAAATAACAGTGGGCTTGAATTCAAGTTAGCATATTGTCACAATCTGTGGACTGATGGTGGTAATGGTGGAAATAGGTCATGTTTGGTGTTATTCAGACGAAACTGAAGGTAGAGTATATCAGGCCACCTATCAGCTGTTTGTACTATTTAGGATAGTGCCAGCCCATTCCATGAATCCTCCCAAAACAATGATGGGAAGTGGTATAAGCTGCTCACTACCAAGAACAATTACGAGCCATGCACGTCAAATGACATTGAAACGATGGGCTTGAAATGGAAAAATGTGTTTGTTTGTTGGCAGATGTTCTTTAATGGTTAATGGAAAAGGTGCTGCCATCTTAATTTTACTACAAAAAAACTTCCAACAGTGGCAGGATTATGCAAGAGATACATGATATCAGACATTAGATATCAGACACGAATATCATTGAAGGAACAAGGCACAGGGATTTCTGAGGTGTGTCATTTCGAAGTGAAGATGTAAGAAGTTTTAGTTTCCTACAACACAAATGATATAGCTTATTTACTAACAGTGGTTTACCATGATCTTTAGTAATGATGACTTTCTTCTATAACAATGATAATGGGGCAAATGTACCTAACACTTCAATGTCAGATATAGGTCTGCAATGGCAGTGCAGTGGGATTTACATAACTTTGCTAATACTTAAAAAATGGTAATGCTAGACTGTGGGATACTATCTAAGACAAATTAACCAAGAGTCTCAAATTATTGCACACCAGCAACATTCTGGAATAGCAAGAAAAACAGTCATTGCCCTTTTCACTCATTGCAGCTGTCATTAATCTGCATGTGTTATGACAATCATGATAACTGAGGCAGCTGTGTGGACCTTAAGGTACTTTTGGAACTGCCAGAAAATTCACCATTTTGCACAATAATTCCCTGTGCTGGCAATACCAAAAAAAAAAACACCCACTTCCCTACATTCCAGCTAATTCTCATATGTTGTAAGCTCACTGAACAGACATTAGGTCTAGAGGTGCATAGAAGCATACAGAACAAGGATGATGATGAAATAAAATGCTGAAAAACTTTCCTAGACTAAATATGCATGCTAGATTAGGGCAGGACTGGCATCTGGAACCAGAAGGCCCAAATCCATACTTACAAAAAGAAACTCATGATGATGTGTGGATGTCTCTGCTGCCAAGCGCTGGCCAGACCCCAAATCTTGTAATACCCACAACACTGCTCAACGCTTCAGCCCCAACCTGAAGCCCAGAATGATAATGGAAGGTCGGAGCTGATCCTATTGTCCAGCCAACAAAGACGCCGAATGTGTTGGCCCTCTAAAGATTCGTTACTTTCAGAAGTCGACTCTCTCAGACGTCAACAATCAATTCGGCGACTAGCTTGAACTGTTGGAAAAGTGCTTGAATAAGGCCACAATGGAAATTCCCTCTCACAAGGCAGGGTAATCCCCTATTCTCGCGGGGTTAGCGCGACACCCATCCACAGAACGGTACGCAACTTGCTCCCGCTGCAGTTTGTTGTCCTCATTCTCGCGTCGGCTCCAATCAAGAGTGATGAAAAAGATTTCAGCTGATCATCAGCATGGTGTCATACATCGTTGCCAGAAAAATTACAGAACCACTGTATTTTGATAAACATTGATACAAATCTGTTAATTAATTAAAAAATCATACTTTTCAATCAGTTAGATCTATGTTGAAGGCTGGAAAGTATTGAATCAAATGTTAAATTGGTGATTTGTTTCGTGAGGGACATAACAACGAAGGCCAGCTGTAGAAATATCTCACCAATGACGCACATATATTGCTGTATGAACTACCTATGTCTAGAAACGGTTCACGCACTTCCCGAACAAAGTTTAAGGATTAGATGTGGCAAAATGATCAGGCCAAACTGACGGCATAGCGTTGTTTACGGTAGCGCAAACCATAATTGTTATAAACTAGGGCACGTTTTATTAAACTGGATGTCAAGGGTTCACATGCTAGGATGCATAAGTGCCGCATTTGTGACAAAACATTGCATCGCTGTTCGCGTGTGATATCGCCATTCGCCAAATATTGGGGCGCTGGTTAGTTGCGCGATATCGCAAATCTTTGCGATCGGGAGCAATTTTTGCTCTATTCTATGGTTCGAGGGCTAAGAGTTCTGGGTTTCGTCTCTGTATGGCAATGTGATGTTCCGTATTATCACTGAGCATACATGTAAAGGATGATTCTTCTGACGTCTGGAATTTACAACCCGTCATGTTCCAAGGTTTGAAGTAGCGATTCCTGGAACAGAAATCAAATCGCCTGAAATGGCTGAATCTCACCTGCAGCTATATGCATGGGTATGTAAGGTGTATGTTATCACCGTGTATGGGAGATTGTGCATCTGCAGTGCATAGTTTTCTTTGGGAATATTTTGCTGTATCTGGGCATGACCACAGTCTAGTCTGCAAAAGTATCTTTGTCACAAGTCACAACTCCTCAAATTGCGATTGACCAGCCAACAAGGTTATTGGGCCTGATATGATCCTGCCTCGAGTGGGACAACCAGCTCTCTGCTTGGGGCAAGGGCCACTAATATTAATGTTGGAAGAGGGGTCTCCAATGTTTTCCTTTTCCACTTTGCCTGCACTGACTGCTGATTGCCTCTAGTTTTCTGTTTAAGAAGGGGCTAAATCCCATGAAATTGTACCATCCAATGTTATGCATTGCACTCACTTTCAAATAATTTGCAGGATGCAAAAGTGATGAAGCATGTTGTGATGCAAATGATGGAAGTTTCAAAGTAGCCATGCTAAATATCATATGGTGTATACATGTTTTCAGATTGTCAATTTGTTCAGTATGGGCAGCCAAAGTTGGCACAAGCAAAAAGTGCTATGCTTGCACATTCAAGCACTTGAATTTTATTTGTGGATTTCTGCCACTAGATGCTGTGGGAATAGTTGCATGATAGACTGGACAGAATAAGATGCCAGCAATTAAGGCAACTGTGATGCACTTGAGACATGTCTGGCCTATGTGGTCTTTGGGATGCCCCAGCTCATATTCATTATTTCTTCTTTGTTTCTGTTTTCACTGCAGTATATTCTGAGGTTCCACCTAACCTTCACCCTAGTTCAGTACCTGCTCCAAGGTGCCAGGGCCACTCTCAGATATTGTCAGCAGCCCTTTTTAAGGAATTCCTGCCCCAAGATTACCAAAACCTGTCACAACTATGATTTCTTGCCTGGACCCTGCCCCTATGATATCTTTTGAAAGTCTGTCATGTTTTGCAGGCTGAATCACTGGTGGAATATGTGGCAGGGGTGTAGTTTCCTATTCTGTTTAGGGGGGGGGGGGGGGAGGAGAGAACTTGGGGGCTCCAGCACTTTTAACTGGGGCTGTGGCTACTCTCCCCACTTTGAAAATAAAGTGAACCAAATCCATAGGGTAACCCATTGGTTGGCAAAGTTGAGTGCAGGTTACACCATTTTTTTTTTTTTGCTGCATGGCCCCAAACTGATTTTGTGAAACAATGCCCCCAGTCTGTAGAGTCATTGTATGTTTGATGCAGGTTTGATTTTTGTTAAGAATGTGTGATGAAGTCAACTTTTTGTGTTTGAGATGCCAAAGTGTACCAAACCAGGCACAAACTCTCTTTATTGCTATTTCTGGTAACTCTGATGATCAAAAAGCATCCGTCTTATTTCAGGGGGCTAATTCACACATGCAGACGGGCACTGGCCTGGCGGACGTTGAACAGCTGCTAGAGCCCGTCGCAGTTCCTCTCCACAACATAGAACCAATAGACAGCAGCATCATCGACACCGTGCTCTCGTCTGCCACGGACCGCGCCTCATCGGCGGATAGCAGAGCCACCTCACCTGCAGATGGCAGCACCCTTGCATCGCTAGATGGCAGCACCGAGCTGTTGCCGGAGCACGCCAGCGTGGCAGTGACTGGCGGCGGCGGCCACTCCCTGCTGCTGCTCGCCGGCCGGGTCTTCTCGTGCGGCCTCAACGACAGCGGTCAGCTGGCGCGACCGTCGGAGGGTGCCGCCGATGGTCTCTTCAGACCGGTGGACGTCGGTGAGCGTCCCTAGCCGGCAGAGGCACCGTCGGGCCGTCAGAGGCACTATTGGGCCGTCAGGGGCATTGCCGGGCCGTCAGAGGCTCCGCCGGGCCTTCAGAGGCACTGCTGGGCCGTCAGAGGCGCCGCCGGCCTCCTTTTGGTTGCACTGATTAAACTGATACTCCTTGCTAGATGGTTTGGATGAGTGTTTTTCACTGCTTTTCTTTGGAACAAATTGCTCTATAGTAAATGATCACGAACCTCGCGTGACCCGACGTGTGACCTGGCCCCATGTGACCCGACCCAGGGTGACCTGACCCAGAGTGACCAGGCACAGCTTGACCTGACCCAGCGTGACTTGACCCAGCGTGACCTGGCCCAGTGTGACCTGACCCCACACGACCTGCCCATGCCACCAGGTGAGCGGGTGGTGGCGGTGTCGTGCGGCTGGGACCACAGCCTGTTGCTGACGGCTGACGGCAGCGTGTACAGCGCCGGCAGCAACAGGTTCGGCCAGTGCGGCCTGGACCAGAGCCACAGTGAGTCGGCTGACGGTCGGTGGGGCTCGTCCGGCGCGCGCCGCCTCACACAGAGCTGGCCGCACAGAGGTCCGTTGTCGGCCGCTCGTCCGGCGCGCGCCGCCTCACACACAGCGGGCCGTACAGAGGTCCGTTGTCGGCGGCCCGTCCGGCACGCGCCGCCTCACTCACAGTTGGCCGTACAGGGGTCCGCTGTCGGCGGCTCGTCCGGCGCGCGCGGCCTCACTCGCAGCTGGCCGGACAGAGGCCCGCAGTCGGCGACTCCTGGCCGTTGGGGTCGGCGCGTGGTGGGATGACCCAATCCTGGGGCATCGCTGGCGACTGTGTCTGTGTTCACGAGCGGGCGTAGCTCCGGACGGAAGCCAGACCACTTTGCCAGAAATCTTTTTGTGTTGACTTCCTAGAAGAGTCGCGATTTCTGCTGTAGACGGTGTCCTTGTGCGTTGATAATGCCGCTCTGTGAAGACAGGGCCCGCTTCGTGCAGGCCGGTCTTAACCTAGTGGATTGATTCTCCACTCGATATGGGGCAGCACTTTACCCCTGTTGTGCGCCTGTTGAATAGAGACACATTCATGTGTGGCTCACGTCTGCCCTCAATGCGGAACAGATTTCACCTTGATCCCATTTTGTAGCCAACATTTTGTGAGCCGGCATGTAAGGAGTGTGAGCTGACAGAACAGGTCAACAGAGATGATAATTGTGTACTCTGGTATGCCTCCCACCATCCCCTTCTATGGACAAGGTCCGTTTCCAGCGACCATTCTCGTACCTCCCCACGTGTTCATGGAAGAGACCCAGTACGTGCAGCTCCCGTCCAATGTCTTCAGTTGTGCCTTGCAGGCCTCCGCGCGGGGTGCGCTGCTCCCCTCCCCGCCGCACCGTTCCCCTCCCCCTTCTCGCCGCCGTACCGTGCCTTCCTCTCTGGCAGAGTGTGTCCCTGACCCGGTGCGGCTGCCGCTGACGGGCGTGTGCAGGGTAGCAGCCTCCCTCCCTCCCCGCTGTACCGTACCCCCCTCTCCGGCAGAGTGTGTCCCTGACCCGGTGCGACTGCCGCTGACGGGCGTGTGTCAGGTGGCGGCCGGTCTCCGGCACTCGGCCGCCGTCACCGTCGATGGCTGCCTCCACCTCTGGGGCGACAACAGCCGGGGACAGACCGGTGCGTACAGCCTGGCGCGCGACAGATGGCAGCACCGGTATGACACCTGGAACGAGATGTCCCTTTTTGTTGTTTTTTTGTCGTCTTTTGTTTGCTTTTGCCCTTTCCTATAAGTATTTCTGTTTCTATTGTGATTTCCTAGTTTGTTGACGTTTTGTCTTCATCTTTTGATATTGCGATGGATTATAGTTGTTCTGTCACTATCTGCAAAACGTTAAGGCCGTTATTTTTGTGAGTACACCTGAACTGCGTGCTTGTGTCCAGGCGCGGCCCCGGACCGGGTGATCTGGTCGCCTCGTCGGCTGGCCGGTGCGTCGGCGGTGCGGGAGGTGGCCTGCGGCCAGCGGCACACCATGCTTATCTCGGAGATGGACGGCCGGCGCCGGCTCTACGGTCAGCCGGAGAGACGCCCCCCCCGCCCCCTCCCTCCAGAGTCACGAGCGCGGGTGGTGTGCGTGCTTTTTCTCAGTCCAGGGGCAGGCAATGGAATCACTGTTATCCTTGTGTGTTTTGGGGCGTTACTCGTGGCGTGGCTTAAGTAGAACGCCGTTGAAGTTCTGTAAATCTGAATGGCTCGGGCTCTAAACGCTCCGAAAGGAAGAACGTCGCCCGCTGCCGTTGTGCCGATGACGTGAGATGTATGTCACACTTCGCATCTCTGGCTCGCTCCGCCAGTGATGCGCGCCGCCGCCCCGTCGATGACGTCACGAACGGCGCCATGTTGCCAGGCCTGGGAGACAACAGCCGGGGCCAGGTGCTCGGCGGACAGGCCTCGCAGAAACCCGGCCGTCTGTCCGACCTCTCATTGGTCGAACTGCCCGATGACGTCACGCCCCAGCGGGTGCTCTGCGGTTGGACCCACACGCTGCTGCATTGCGGTGAGGAGGGGGGGGGGGGGGTCTGACACTGGGGAGAAAGGGCAACAGGAGACGGTCGGTGGTCTGGGGAAACGGATCAGCGCACTCGAAAATTTCGGAGGGGTTTCTCTGTCTTGTATAGGGTGTTTTCTCCGTGGAAAGTTTAGAGTACTGGAGTATATTTTCTCAACATTTGTGGTCCATCGTTTCATTGTTCTAAATGTTGAATGATGAAGCTGCCCATCGATCAGTAGTTGCCATGGTCATTGTCATTGGCTGCATTGGCATGTCGTGGTCCGTGCTACCATGTCTTGACACCAGGTACATATGCAACGGAAAAGTGAAAACCTGCATGATGCGAGAAATGAAACGACAGGCACGGGGTGATTGATTTTGCCACTGCCAATGCCAGCATAATGTTAGCTGCGATTGCCATTGTTATTGTGTATGTTCAGAGGCATTTCCTATTTAATTTGAATTTCAGCAACAGTTTTTGTGACAGTATCCCTACATAACACCTGCAGAGAAAGTTTCGCGATGGATGATTGGCATTTGTGCACCTGCTGTACCTACAACACGTATTTGTATTAACAGTAGGTGACGGTGTACCTAGGTACTGACGTACCTACAACACGTATTAACAGTAGTAACTTGTATTAACAGTAGATGACGGTGTACTTGCCGCATTAAATATAGACGACATTGCGTGTTCAGCCAGGACGCCGTGCCCCAAACCCAATCTTGGTCCCCCCCCCCTCCAACGCGGACCAGATGTGCGCCCACCTCACCGGCCGCCGCCGTCTCCAGCCGACGGCTCGGTGCGCGGCTGGGGACGGGCCGACTACGGTCAGCTGAGCCTGCCGGCGGCGGCCGCGCGTCAGCTGGCGGCCGGCTCCGAGCACGCGCTCGCGCTCGCCGCCGCCGGCCGCCTGCTCACCTGGGGCTGGAACGAGCACGGCAACTGCGGCACCGGTGACGTCAGCGATGTGACGTCACCGGCTGACATGACGCGCCGGCTGGCCGGCCGGCCGGTGGCCGTCGGCGCCGGCTACGGCTGCTCGTTCGCGGTGTGTGTGGTGGACGGCGGGAAGAGCTGATGGCCAGGCTGGGTGGCTGGTCACTGTGCCGCGAGTAATGCTGCTGCGGCGCCCCAGAGACCTGGAGTGAGCTGCGGCTTTGATGAGAGTTGTGGTGGCGTTTTTGTGCGTCATGATATATTATGATGATATATTATGATAACATATTAGGATGATATATTATGGAAATATGTTATGATAATGTGCTATGTGCCACTGCGTGTTTGATACTGCCCTCATTCTTCTGTTAATTGATAATTGATGAGCAAACGTAACATTTCTCTACGAGTTCTGGGAACAATATATGAACCGTGCCAGGAACACCCACCCGACTGATAGACGACAGTTGATCCTCGCACGCAATAAGTGCTCAGCTGAGCAGCATTCCCTGAACACGAAACAACGCAGCGCTACGTCAGATCACTAACTTGTGACGTCATCGATCAAGGCTTGCGCAGTGATATCCCCTGACGCAGGCTGTGTGCCCGCAGGACCCTTTCTTGGCGTGGAATTATGACGTCATCGATGACGGTTTGCGCGGTGATATTTGCCTCACACAGGCTGCTTATGCATACACCCTTTTTGTTATGGATTGCACTCATGAAGGTCATTGGTTGGTACGGCTGTTTGCCGGTCAGCTGTTGCCGCACTGCACGAGGTCACACGGGGTCATCAGAGGTCATGCGAGACCAGGTTAGAAGTGCTGAGGCAAAAGGGTCGTCCACAGATTACGCAACGCATGACGGGGGAGGGGAAAATTGATAGGGTGTAACCGAAGCATTGTAAAGAGAAACGGGGTGATCATGATAAATGGATCGGAGTAAGGGATCATTTTCCAAAACAGTTACTTCAATGCACAAGTCAGCTGGGAGATAAAAAGATATGCGCCACGAGGACAACGCAACAGGACACTCATGACCCTGCATAACATGACCTTAAACCTCGGCCTTAGTTAACGTAATAGCATGATTGTGAAGCACAAGGAGACGTCCGTTCGTTTGGTGTCAGTTATAAAAGTACACAACCATTACCAAATAGCTTGTAAAAGTACACAACCATTACCAAATAGCTTGCGCAAACTGCATTAGCATTGGGAACGCGACGTATGTCCACTCATAGTTTGCAGGCGACACCAAATAGGACTTAGATGGATTTTTTTCGATCCAGTTATTAAATTCGGACATACCGGGAAACAAAGGGGAACGGATTTATTAAGCCCAGGCAGTGACAGTGGCCAAGTATCCCAGGCAGTGCCGGCAATTGGCTTTGATAATTTGGTGAGCTGAGAAGTGAGGTGTAAATGGTTCAAACTATCTGTCTGCTCATAACAATTTGAAACAAATGACATGACAATTGTTGCACACAGATGAGAAAAGGCAAACAAATAACGTGTCAGTTACGCAGTGATATCTATTTCACACACTGATCAAAATAATTCCAGTGACATGCGTCTACACTGTTGCGCCATAAACTGGCTGGGTACGAAAACGAGCATGTACACCACGCGCACAGCGTGGTGGCCACAGCCGGTAAACAGGGAAACAGCGTTTGCCGCGTTCGACACCGCCCTCTGCTGCTGTCAACTGCCGGTGCCAGGCAGTCAGCCAGCGCGCTTCTCGTGACCACCAGGCTAGGAACCTTTGACCTGAGGTCAGCACCGTAGGCCGTGGAGTTTCTCCGACTTGTACTGGTTGTGGGAGTGCTGATAGCTTCCGCGACTCGACATAAGGCTCTGTGAAGGAGTACAACCCAGCGACCGACGAGTGACCGACCGGTGACCTCAGTGACCGACTATCGACTTCAGTGGCCGACCAGTAACCTCAGTGGCTGACCAGTGACGTCAGTGATCAACCAGTGACCTCAGTGACCGACGAGTAACTGAACCTGCCAGGCACTAAGGCGGCTGTCTGCTCAGGCCGCGGCGTCGTCCGTGCTCCCAGCCGGCCCCTGCCGGCGGCGGCCGCGGTCGTAGTTTGTGCTGTGCACGCTAGATGGCGATATGATCCACGTCAGCCGCTTGTCGCTGGTGGCGACGCGTCGTCCGCGCCGGCTGAGGCGGTGATGTGCCCTGCTGAGCCCTGGCCACGCTGTACCCCCGCCTGAGCTGGACATCGGCTCGGTTGTCGCGCCAGACTATGAACTCCAGCCTGGGTGCGCGGCGTGTCTGTCGCTGGTCGTGAACGGGTTTCTGACGATAAGACCCGGAGGACTGACGCTTAGAATCGGAGGTCGCTTGTCGAATGTGATCCGCAAGTCGCCGCTGACGAAGCCTGAAGGGGGTCGCCATCCTCCGACGTAAGGACACTGCTGTCCGGCCCCCGACCGGTCCCGCCGGTCCGCCGGGACCCGCCGGTCCGCCCGTCGGCGTCGCGTTCGTCCTCGCCCGCACCCTCATGCTTGAACTCGGCCACGTAGCCGCCGTCGCCGTCCACTGCGTAGGTGACGGTCTGGAGGTGGTTGTACGGGCAGCAGCACCGAGTAGGAACCGTGCGTCTGCCGGCCGGCTCGGCTCTCCCGCTGACCGAACTGCGCCTCTCGGCCGGCCACCGTCCAGTCGACCTCGTACCGGGCCGGCTCGTCCGCCGGCCGGAGACGCCGCCCTAGCGTTGACACCAGGAGAGGTCGCTGCTCCGGGAGCTGGAGCGGCGCTGTCGTCCCCGACAGCGGGACCAGGCGCCGGTGTGAAGTATTCGGCAAAGCTGGATCTGTCCTCTTCAGCAGGGTATCTTGACGCCGATCCGTGGTCTTCTCCACGATATATCTGTCCGGAGATGGCCGTCGCCGCGGCGAGGAATACTATGAGCACGCCCATGGCGGCTCCGCGCCAGGGATCCGTGGCGTCTCTCGCTGGCTGATGGCAGACGTCGCAGGCTCGTCCGTTTTTATACCGGATTCAGCACGAGGCGTCCGCACACCGCCCG